AGTTATGAATAGTAACCAGTAAAGACACATTGATCCACAACAGCTCTTCTCAGCCAACAGCCAAGTCTCTCTGGTTCTGGTCCTCAGCCTCTCAGGCAGCACCGATATCCAGACAAAGGGAAGCAACCAAGGACTGAAAAGCGTAGACTTCAAGGCTAGATGTCTGGGTCATGGTACCATGCAATGAGTCAGGTAGTTTGGCCAAGGGATAGGCTAATTTGGAATGAGTGGTAGAAGAGAGAAATGAAGGCTATTAATTATTCTATAGCCTCAAGATTACAGTCAAGAGATTTGTTTGTTCCACGACACTTTGTTTTCAGTTCCCCCCTTGGCAGTCTTTCTCTATTTTCCTTGAGAGTTTCTGGATATGTCAAGAAGTGAAAGGTCCAAGTGAACCTTGGAACCTTGCACACGGCGTGAATGTGAGCGCTGCTGAGTGTGAACGGAGCTAACTACAGTGGGATATGTCTACATCCTTTTGACGTTGACAACCCACGCGTGTGGATCTGGTGAGCTCTTATTTTCATGCCTGCGCACGTAGACTTGAAGGCATTCGGTGGTCTTTCAGCTTCACATTTGCTGAGCATATTCTTCCTTTTTTGGATTCCTATCTAGGTGGTTGCACATTTCATTATCATAGTTTCCTCTGTCTTCTCGAGCTGCCTTTCAAAGCTTGCGGTTCAGTTCTTTCACGTGCCTTAGTTGCTCTGTGATGAAGAACATGTTTCAGCGTCTCTTCTCACATCCACTTTGGTCTTTTCTTTCCTTCTGGTCTTTACAATGACCTTTGGTTTTCTTCACGGATGATGTTCTGGATGTCATCTTGTCATTAGCGTTCCATGAATCAAGTTTGTTCTTGAGGTGTTCTCAAAATACAGGTGGGATAGACTCAAGGTCATATTTTGGCTCTTGTGAACCTGTTTTCATTTTATTCAACTCAACCTGAGCTTGCTGTTAGGTGTTGTGTCAAGTCAGTTCTAACTCATAGCGACCCTTTGTACAACACAAGGGAACAGCCCCTGGTCCTAGCCATCTTCTCGATTGAACTTGCAGATGAACAATTGCTGATTTGTTCCATAGTCTCCAAGCTGCCCTGGTTTTAGCTACTGACACTGAGCCTCTACTTTGTCTCTTCCCACAGATGTAATCCATTTGACTACACAGAAGTGTACGACACCTAGCGAAGTTCATGTGTGTGGTGGTTCTTTTTAAAATTATTAAAAAAATGTGTTGTTAAAAAATGGTATAAGCTATGAACAAATCAGTGGCCTTGCAAAATTTTATCATGTGACCTCCAGCTTCATTTCTATCACCAAGGTCATATTTTCCAACTACTCTTCCTTCCTCTTTGTTTCCATTTTTTTCCTTCCAATTGTCAATAATTATAAATGCATCTTGATTGCATATTTGATCAATTTCAGGTGAACAATTTGGTAGAATTCTGCAATTTCTTCACCACTAGCTTTTGTGATTGATGCATGAATTTGAATAATAGCTATAGATGGGTTGAATTTCCTTGGATGCAGATAGATGTAATCCTATCACAAAAGCATTGTACTTCAAGACAGGTTTTGAAATGGTCTCTTTTGATTACAAAAGCAACACTATTCCTTTTCACTTGGAGACCTGCGACAGGTCAGTGTCTGGCCAGCGTGAGATTTATAGAGTTCACTGGAACAGAAATGCTTTCTCAGGTAGGGGCTCCCTCTCTCTAGGTGAACCCATTCCAGGACACCTTGCCTTTCACAAAGAAAAGGGAACTCTCCCCAGGGCTCCTACTGGCTCCTCTGGCTTCAATTCCACCAGATCCCTCCTGTGGCTGGTCTTCACCACTCTGGATGGGAGATCTGCACCCAACTTCCTTTCAATCGGCTGAGGGTAACAGAGGCCATGGCCCATACTGTTGGGTGAATCACCCAATGCCTGGTGAATTCTGCTTGTCTGTCGGTTGTCATACTGTGGTGGCTTGTGTGTTGTGGTATTGCTGGAAGCTATGGCCCTGGTATTTCAAATGCCAGCGGGGGCACCCTAAGTGAAAAGGTTGAGGCAGAACATACAGACTGAGAACAGACTTCAAAGAAGTACCATGCCCACTTCTGTCCACTTCTGAGGAATTAGCCCCAGAAGATGGTATGGACAAAATGGAAACATTGTCAGATACAGAGAACATCATGAGAAGAAGCATAATGTTGTCAAAGATCATGGCAGAAGATGAGCCCCGCAGGTTGGAAGGCACGCAAAATATGATGGAGGAAGAGTCACCTTTAGGAAGTAGAGTTGCCCATACTGATGTGCATGGAGGCAAGCCTTGGGACCTTCATTTGCTGTGGGGCATGGCACAAAGTGGAAAGAAACCACTTCAAACAGCAATTAATAATTGTAACTTGCAATGTAAGAAGTATGGATTTAGGAATACTGGAAGTTGAAAAATTGAAATAGAATGCATAAAAATTGACATTGCAGGCATTAATGAGCTGCAGTGGACTGCTATTGGTCACTTTGAATCAGAAAATCATATGGTTTATTATACCGGGAACGAAATAATCAAGGGCAATGTCATTGCATTCACCACCCAGAAGGAGCTTTCAAGGTCTATCTTGAAGCACAATGCTGTCTATAATAGGAATATCTCTATCTGAACCCAAGGAAATACAATCAATACAACTATTGTTCAAATTTATGTGCTGACCACTAAGTCTACTGATAAAGAATTTGAATAATTCTACCAACTTCTTCAGTCTGAAATTGTCAAACATACAGTCAAGATGCACTGTGAATTATTGGCAATTGGAATGAAAATGTTGGAAACAAACAAAGCCAAAACCCTGTTCAAAACACATATATGTTTTTAAACAATACAAATGGCAACTCTACAGATGGATTTTCTAGATAGAATATGAAGAAATCCTATATCCATGGAAACATGTGATAGGTGATAGAGAAGCTCAATGTCAGCAGCTGGAACCAGGCCAGGGGCTGACTGTGGAACAGACCATCGATTAAAAGAAGTTGTGGTAGTAACTTAATCTGGTGTCAATCTGGGACTTGAGAGAATTAAGAATGAAGGGGTGGAGTCTAGTCTGTCAATCGGGTCATAGCCAATGAAGCCTCTGTATGGGCCTGGCCTTCCCCTGAGGATTCTGGGTATTCCTGTATTTTCCTGCTTGAAGGCAGAAGACACGTTCACTAGAATCCCTCCCTTGGAGATGCTCTACTGACAAGACACATGGGACTACTCTGATAGAATCCATGCCCGGGGAGCTGGAGAAGCAACATGCACCTACCCTGATGCATCCCTGGGTGCTGGAGAAGCCACTGGGAAGCAGAGAAGCCATGTGGAGACCCCTGCCAGTGCTGAGATGCTTACAAAGCCACTGGACCCACAAGATTTCACACCCACTGGCCTGTGATCTTCCTGGATTTGGCATCATTGCATGTGTTTCATGAGTCTGAAGAGGACTTTATGGATTTTTATCGGACATTTGGACTAATATCACACATTTGGGCTTGGAATGGACTGGGCTGAGATGTTTTCTCAACATTCAACAGCTCTTGTATATAAACCTCTTTCCAATACACATATGAAGGTCTCCATGAATTTGTTTCTCTAGTCTACCTAGACTAACAGAGAAGTCCACAAGAACCTTGAGTCTATCCCACCTGAATTTAGAAAGCATCTCAAGAATATACTTGGTGCATTGAACACTAATGAGAGAAGACCTGATGAGC